AAGCTTCAGCTGCATTCTCGGCACTTCGGGCCGCACCTTTGCGAGAAGATTGTTTCGAAACTGGTGGCCGAGGTGGAAGGCACGTGCACGTGAGTATAGCGAGGGGAGGATAACGTCCTGGGGTACTATAAGAGTTCGGGGGTATACGTGAGTATATCGAGGGGAGGTGGTGGAAGGCACGTTTATTCACATGAGTGTAACAAAACCAGGATTACGGCTGAGGATAATGAAGCGTACGGGGGACATACGTGAGTATAGCGAGGGGAGGTGGAAGGCACGTGTATGTGAGAAGAGCGATGGGAGGTGAGTCAAGGCATGTGCATGTCAGTGCAGTGAGGGGGAAGAAAATGGCATGGGAGGAATTCAAGGTTCGGTATAGGGTTGTGGTGGCAGTAACTATCGACTGACTTTTGAGTCGACTCAAAAGTCACCTGAGTTCAAGGTTCGGTATAGGGTTGTGGTGGCAGTAACTATCAATGCTGGGGATTGTGGATGGGGTATCGTCTCGTATGCGATGACTCGGGGTTGACATGGGGATGACACGGAAGTGACACATGGGTGACACAAGGTTGACGCATGGGTGACGCATGGGTGACGCATGGGTGACACATGGGTGGCACACTCTCCGTTTTTTATCCCCTCCCCGCCCCGGCTCCAACCTTTTCCTCCTAAGTTAGCAACTTCATGGGTCGGCATGGATTTGTGGTGGCGGTGACGACAGTGGAGAGCGTGGGCACGGGGATAGTGTGATCCCCCCTCACCCCTGCTGCTAATGCCCCCTTCCCTCCCCCCGTGTCTTACCAACAACAGAGGTCGGCATGGGTTTGTGGTGGCGGTGACGACAGTGGAGAGCATGGGCACGGGGATAGTGTGATCCCCCCACACCCCTGCTGCTAATGCCCCCTTCCCTCCCCCCATGCCTTACCAACAACAGAGGTCGACATGGGTTTGTGGTGGGGGTGACGACAGTGGAGAGCGTGGGCACGGGGATAGTGTGATCCCTGTCATAATATCTTTGTGTAACTGCCTATAGCTGTAGTTTAGTGTAGCAATCATAAACTATTGGTGGTGCACCATTCTTGTTTCTTGCCTATTTCTATTGTTTGATCTATAGTGAAACTCCTTTCTTCTTGCAACAACTTTCTCGACTCCCCTTCACCTAGGCTACTAAGCCTAGGCCCTCACATAAACCTAGCCCCCCACTTGTGCCACTATTTTAACATGGTATTCAGAGCAGGCACCTTCTTACTGCCTTCCTTAACGGGCCCACCAACTAGCTTCCGCTGCCTGTCGTCCTGTCGCGCGCCCCGGGCGCGCGGCGGCTCTCTGTCCCACGTCCGCGCGCGGGCTTTCTGCCCGTTGCGCTGCCCTGCAGGCCGCGCGCGGGCCTGTTCTGCCCGTCGCGCTGCCCTGCGGGCCGCGCGCGGGCCTGTTCTGCACCCGCGACGCCGCCCCTGGACCCCGCAACGCCGCCCCTGGACCCCGCGACGTCCCTGGACCCCCGCGATGCTGCCCCTGGACCTCACCACGCTACCCCTGGACCCCGCGACGCCGCCCCATGGAGCCCGCCCGCGCCCTGCCTCACCTGCGCCTGCCCTCGAGTGGCCGCCCCCGCGTCTGCCCTCGTGCAGCCGCCCCTGCCTCACCCGCGCCTGCCCTCGTGCAGCCGCCCCTGCCTCACCCGCGCCTGCCTTTGTGCAGCCGCCCCTGCCTCACCTGCGCCTGCCCTCGTGCGGCCGCCCCCGCGTCTGCCCTCGTGCAGCCGGCCCTGCCTCACCTGCGCCTGCCCTCGTGCAGCCGCCCCTGCCTCACCCGCGCCTGCCTTCGTGCAGCCGCCCTGCCTCACCCGCGCCCGCCCTCATGCAGCCGCCCCTGCCTCACCCGCGCCTGCCCTCGTGCAGCCGCCCCTGCCTCACCCACGCCTGCCCTCGTGCAGCCGCCCCTGCCTCACCCGCGCCTGCCCTCGTGCAGCCGCCCCTGCCTCACCTGCGCCTGCCCTTGTGCAGCCGTGGGGGGGAGGGTATGGGGGTGGCGGGTGTGGGGGTGATGAGTGTGGGTGCTACCCTTCCCCTCCTCCTCCTCCTTCTTCGTCTCCCACTGCTGCAGCTGCCGCTGAAGGGGGGTGGATGTGTGGGAGCCGAGGGGAGTGGAGCTAAGGGGGTGTCGTGGGAGTGGAGACAGGGGTGCAGCAAGGGGGTGTGTGAGAAAGGGGTGTGGAACTGTTAAGGGAGGTTGAGCGGAGGTCGCCGTCGTGTCGTCAGCAGCGCAAGTAGTCCGGAGCCCTCGTGCTCTCAGTAGCCCAGCGAGCCTGCTTCGCTAGTCGCCTATGGGTCCGTTGCTCCTGCCGTTCGTCGTAGCCGCAGAGCCAGATACTCCCGTAGTCCGGTGCCCTCGTGCGCTCGGTAGCCACTATGCGCGCCGCTCCTGTTGCCCGTGTGACTGCGGCTTCACCTGTCGCCTCCTATCTCCACTCCTCTCACAGTCCCTCCTCCTCCTCACTTCGCCTCGTCTTCTGCATGGTGTACCCATCCATGAGGTGTTGTTGCACAAACTCCTGCTGCAGGCAGTTATGGGGGAATGTCAGAATATCTTTGTGTAACTACCTGTAGCTGTAGTTAGTGTAGCAATCATAAACTATTGGTGGTGCACCATTCTTGTTTCTTGCCTATTTGTATTGTTCGCTCCATAGTGAAACTCCTTTCTTCTTGCAACAACTTTCTCGACTCCCCTTGGCCTAGGCTACTAAGCCTAGGCCCTCACCTAAACGTAGGCCCCCACTTGTGCCACTATTTTAACAATCCCCCCTCACCCCTGCTGCTAATGCCCCCTTCCCTCCCCCCGTGCCTTACCAACAACAGAGGTCGGCATGGGTTTGTGGTGGCGGTGACGACAGTGGAGAGCGTGGGCACGGGGATAGTGTGATCCCCCCTCACCCCTGCTGCTAATGCCCCCTTCCCTCCCCCCGTGCCTTACCAACAGCAGAGGTCGGCATGGGTTTGTGGTGGCGGTGACGACAGTGGAGAGCGTGGGCACGGGGATAGTGTGATCCCCCCTCACCCCTGCTGCTAATGCCCCCTTCCCTCCCCCCGTGCCTTACCAACAGCAGAGGTCGGCATGGGTTTGTGGTGGCGGTGACGACAGTGGAGAGCGTGGGCACGGGGATAGTGCGATCCCCCCTCACCCCTTCTGCTAATGCCCCCTTCCCTCTCCACGTGCCTTACCAACAACAGAGGTCGGCATGGGTTTGTGGTGGCGGTGACGAAAGTGGAGAGCGTGGGCACGGGGATAGTGTGATCCCCCCTCACCCCTGCTGCTAATGCCCCCTTCCCTCCCCCCGTGCCTTACCAACAACAGAGGTCGGCATGGGTTTGTGGTGGCGGTGTCGACAGTGGAGAGTATGGCCACGGGGATAGTGCGCGATGCTACGGGCTTCATAACCTTCCCCTCTCTTATTCCCACCCGTCGCCTCTGCCTCTGCACCCGCCACCCGGGTTTGTGGTGGCGGTGACGACAGTGGAGAGAAGTGTGGGCACGGGGATAGTGTCGACGCCACGGGCTATGGGTGACGTTCCCTGCTCTTCCCCCTCATTCCCTCTCCCGCTTTATGGTGGCGGTGACGACAGTGGAGAGAAGTGTGGGCACGGGGATAGTGTGGGGTGACACGGGCTACGTGACCTTCCCCGTGCGCTACCAGTGTGTGGTGTCCCGGCCAAGGGGGAGATTCTCGAGGGAGTGGTTATCACACGTAACAAGGTACCACCAGCACAGTCAACATGAGTGAATGCAAATCATTGCGAGTCAACACAAGTCAACGCGAGTCGCCGCCAGTCAACGCAAGTCAATGAGATCGTGAAAGTGAATAAGGTACTACTACAGTGGCAGAGGGAAAAAAACAAACCATAAGTCTCTGTTATCGTCTTGTTTGTAGTCTGTGCATCACTCACCTGCCACTTATCGCCACAGCAAACCCATGCTCCCCACTCCCCTGCCCCACCCCACCCCACAAACTCATGTCTACTCCCCCCCTGTTTCACCCCGTTCCCCCTTCCTCCACCCTTCCCTCTTCGCTGCGGTCCCCTTCCATCTCTTCAAATGGGCTTCTTTGATGAGATAGCCCTGTGTGATGAGTCGATTTTTGAGTCGACTCAAAGATGGGCTTCTTTGCTGAGGCCGGCCCTGTGCAAATATTTGTTTCCAACCATGTGAGTTGGTGGCTGTGTTGGTACGAGATGGCTTTGCTTTTGAGACGCCTCAATGATAATGTGTGATGATTCCTTTCTTGGCTGCTCAGTTTTTCTTTTAGAGGAATGGTTGAAACAATTTTGGTTATGCATGGATAGGTGAAGATAAGTGGAATCAACCAAAAGCTGTTTGGTGTCCATCACTCCACGTTTTCGCAGTGACGACTTCTGAGGCGCCTCAATAACTGTTTGGTGTCCGTCATGGCACGTTTTCGCTGTGAGCATATTTTGTGTTCACAGGTGTGCAATGTAGCCTATGCGCATGTGCATGTGTGAGCGTGTTTTTAGTGTGTGTGTTTGGGTATATGTGCATGTATGTATGTATGTACGTGGCATGTGCATGTGTGCATGTGCCACATGTGCATGTGGTGCATTCGGTACTATGTGGTGCATGTGCATGTGGTGCATGGGTTGCTTGTGCATGCATCTCTCTCTCTCCGCCCACAGCTTAATTCCTGACGACATGTCCTTCACACCAGGCGACATCAATAGCTACCAAACAGAAGACGGCACAGTGAGATGCGGTGCTAGGTGTTGCCATGAGGTGCTACGCGGTGAGACGCGGTGATAGGGGTGCGGTCATTATCTATGCAGGACACCAATGATCGATGGCAGATATGTGAGTTTGGGCCCTGCGGTGCGGTGATGTGCGGTGGTGTACAACTAGCATGCGTTGTGTCAACTCAGAATTCAATTTGTCTTCTCTCCCCTACACTTACCCTTTTTCTTTTCACCGACTATAGTTCTGCATCGGGACCATCAAGGGCGATTACCTTGGACTTGTCTCCAAAGGGGGCGCCCCCATTTGAAGAGAGGCCAATCAGGTTGCAATCCGCCGCCGCCGCCTCCTCCTCCACCGCCGCCACCGACGCCCCCAGCCCCACCACCACTCCCTCCGCCACCCCCACCCCCTCCGCCGCCTCCACCACCACCTCCACCGCCCCCGCCAGCTCCTCCAGCGCCCTTGCCCCACTTGCCCTTGCCTGTGCGGCGTCTCCCGCTAGGGGCAGACGCAGCGCCGACCGACTCGGTGCCAACGAAGTCGACCGCAGCAGCAGAGGCAACAGAGGGCAAAAGGGGGGAGGGGGAGCACCCCTCAAAGAAGGGGGTACGAGGGTCACCACGAGAGGCTCCTACAGCGACTACACTCTTCTCAGCTGCCAGGAGGCGCTCCTTGAGGAGGTCAACGGTGAGTGTGGTGGGGCAAACAGAGAGGAAGTGGTCCCTGACCGAGCGAAGGGAGTCAGGGAGCCGGGTGACAATGTAATAGAGGGTGATGTACATGGGGGGGGGGGGGTTCTTGGCGCAGAACTCAGCAGGAAACGCAGCGCGGTAGCGGGTGTCACTAGTGCGAAGGTGGGTAATGAGGTCAGCGACTGTGGGAAAGGCGGCGAGGTTAGGGAACAGGTACGGCATCATGAGGCGGCTAAGGGCAGCAGTGGCAGGGGAAGAGTAGCGTGCAACTACAACATCGTACAAGGTCTTAGCACTCTTGTACTGACTAAAATGCGCGCGCTCAGTGGACGGCAAGTGACTACGCACAGCAAGACGGGCAGCAGCATCGCGTGTGGCCCACTGTGAGCGAACAACGCTGTCAGCATCGGCAGCAGGGGCAGGAGAGACGCCAGACGTGAGATCGAACAGTGAGAGACCGTTTTTTCTATCGCACTGCAGGAACAGCTGCAGATCATCGACCCGGACCTCAAAGTCGACAGCCCGACCCTCAGCATCAAAGGTGAGAGCGCTAGGGGTAGCCATGACAGCAGCAGCAGCAGCAGCAGCAGGCTAGCAGCAGGAGCAGCAGGCTAGGAGCAGCTCAGTAGCAGAGGCGCTGCCCGGCGGTGCTCTTACCAGGGCGGGTGGGTAGAGGTCCGCAAGTGGTGGGGCAGGGCCGAGACGCGCCGGCAGGGACAGGGCCGCGATAGGGCGGCAGAGGAGTGCCGCGCCTCAGCTGCAGGGCAGGGCCGGGACGGCGGGGGTGGCTCCGGCAGCGGCGGCGGCGGCTGCTGCAGTCGGCGGCGGCGGCTGCGGCGGCCCCGGTAGCGGCGGCGGCTGCTGTCACGGCAGCGGCGGCGGCGGCTGCTGCAGTCGGCGGCGGCGGCGGCCGGGCCATGAAGGAGCCGCGAGGGGCGGCGACGGGGCCGAGAAGGGGCCGCGAGGGGCCGCAAAGGGCGGTGACGGGGCCGAGAAGGGGCCGCGAGGGGCCGCGAAGTGCGGCGACGGGGCCGAGAAGGGGCTGTGAGAGGCCGCGAAGGGCGGCGATGGGGCCGAGAAGGGGCCGCGAGAGGCCGAGAAGGGGCCGCGAGGGGCCACGAAGGGGCCGCTAGGGGCCGCGAAGGGTCGTGAGAGGGGCCTCTAAGGGCCGGGGAGGGGCCGCGAGGGAGCCGCGAAGGGGCCGCGAGGGAGCCGCTAAGGGGCCGCGAAGGGCCGTGAGAGGGGCCGCGACGGGGCCTTAAGAGGGCGCGACGGGCCGCTAAGGGCAGGGGACGCGACGGGAGGGCAGGCACACGGGGCGCAACTAGGGCAGGGGCGAAGCGCGCTCCGGGCAGGTAAAAAAAAAAAAATCGATTTTCCGTGGTGGGCGCTAGGAAACGTTCCCACTAGGGAACCTGCTCTATACCATGTGAAAGAATGAGGAATGCGTACTAAGAAAATGAGTTGGGTACAAATATGCAACCCTAGAAAATTGTACCCTATACTGTCTACCCCACTACAGCCTAGAAAGACTATAGCCTCAATATTTGACAGCCTTCTCATCTTGGTTTGAAAGAGCAATTTTTGAAATGTTTTACTTTGAACTCGCCATTGTCACAAAAGGGCATTATCGGGCTACCAGTAGTACTAAAGCCAGAGACAGCTCCCATTGTAGGATAACTTGCACGTACTGGTACTCATATCCCCACATATCCTATCGTACATTTAAATGGAGTATGAATCATTGATTATAATTGAAGCACGCACTCGAGTGTTCGGATTAAAGTTTCTTCTATTTGCATGGACACTCACATCACAATATACGGCACTCAAGAATTGTTCGTTTCGTCTCGTGATTTTTCTTTTTAGGCGATGATATGATATTCAGGGATGCTGCTTCGAATATAAAGTCTCGTTTAAATTTTATTTGTTGTACTGGTGAGTGAACTTTTTTTTTAGCCATTAAACAAACACAATGAGTGATTTCAGAAGGTATTCTTCGCGGTGCCCCTAATAACGATTATTGCCTTTTTGTCCCCTCCCCACCCACGTGCGTTGAACATCCAACGTGCGGTACGGAGGTTTCGTGCCACCCCGTATGAAGATGTTGCTCACTCCTGTGTTCCGGTCCCTTTCGGCCTCCATTGCTACCTTGCCCATCCGTCCTTACTCAATTTCTTTCCCCCCCAGGTGCCTGACCGATTTCGGGCTGAGCTTGAGGCGGTGCTTCCGTTACCGTCAACAGTGCAACCGCCACGGTTGGAGCCCCGCTGCCTCATGGCAGAACCAGTCGCCTTCAATAGATTCATGTGCAAGGAGCCTAACGTACCCTTCGGCCGGTTTAAGGATGAGAAGTTCCTGCTCACCAATCAGGTTCGCCTGGGGGACCTTCTCATCCCCACACGAATGGGCGCGAGACGCCTTGAAGAAGACGAGATCTTTGAAAAGTTCCCCCCCTCTGTGTTTCCCGGTAGCAGGACGCTCATCCTCAGCATTTTTGACTCAATTCCACTTAGTTGGTGGGCCACGCTCCGAAGGTTTTCCCCACACAGGAAGTACCTGCGGAGAGTCACTCTACAACGGTGGTGAGCTAGACTACGGGGTTGGCACGAACTACTAGAGGTGATCATAACTTTTGCTTCGTTCCTTAGTGCTTGCGCATTCACGGGAGTAATCGGCAAGAGTTTCCACTAGGCAAAGTCAAAATTACAGAATCATAGAAACAAGAAAAATCACAACAATGACTACATCAGGCACCTAGCAACCCTGCAGCTAGCCTGGTCGACCGCCAGCACAGCTCGGTCGACCACCTGCCAGCGTTGCGTAGAGGAGCCGCGCCAGCACTGCAGAAGGGCGACCTACCAACAGAGCAGGTCGACGGCGTGCCATCGCTGCAGCAGAGCGGCTGTCCAGCGTTGCCCCGTAGAACACAGCAATGCGCACGCTCGCAGGTGCGCGCAGACGATTGGCCTGACTTGCCTCGTTGGGCATCCGTCGGCTGTTGTCTGCGCTTGACGAGCCACATCGACTTCGGGATACCAGCCCGAAGTCGCCTGCGCCATTGCAACCTTGATGACGTTCGCGTGCCTCCGCAGAACTCATCGAGCAAGTTACCCGGTCGACCACCAGGTGCTTCTGGTCGACCACCACTGCGACCACCAGGTCCCTCTGGTCGACTACCAGGTGCCTCTGGTCGACCACAACTCCCGTCGAGCTACCCTCTGGTCGACGGACCCCTTCCGTCGACCAGAACCATCAGCGATTGTCGCCGAGCTCCCCTCGTCGACCGCTACTTACTTGTCAGGTTGACGGACTGCTCCGTCGACCTCCCGGTCGAACTGCAGGTCGACAGACTGCTCCCGGTCGAGCTGCAGGTCGACGGGGACCCCCTGGTTGAGCTGCAGGTCGACGGAGACCTCCCGGTCGAGCAGCAGGTCGACGGAGGCCTTCCGGTCGAACTGCCCCTCCTAGTTGACGTCCCATCCGTCGCCCAGTCCAGTCGGTTGCAGCTGTCGAGCTCCCTGGTCGACTGCAGCACCACAGCGGTTCCTTGCAGCTTGACGATGCCTGTCAAGCAGCTCTCCCACTGTGAACGGTCGGGTGCTACTCCCGTACATCCGACCAAGTCGTCGGTGTTGCCCAAGCGAGGGCGGGGCCAACACTTCATTCCTGTTAACACTCCCCTGCCGCGCTCACGCTTGGGCCTCCAGCCCACACGGCACTACTCTACGAAGAAAAACTCATCCTCGACGTGCACCCCACACACAGCACGCCGTCACCGCACCAGCCGTGCAAAAGGGCACGGCACCTAGTACTGCACCTCATCGTCACCGTCGCCGATGTCAGACAGACGAACTTGGCCGATGGTGACAGAGCACCGGTTGAAAGCCGGAAAATGCAGCGCCTTCGTCAGGAAGTCCGCCAGCTGCTCGGTGGTCGGGATGTACTTCAGCACAAATTTCCCGCGCCTCACTATGTGTTGCAGCCAGGCGTAGCGTCGCTCCATGTGCTTGAGGTTGCCCGTCAGCCCCAAGCCCTCAGCGACCGTGATGTGAAAGTTTAGAAGAAAGAAGAGAGTTGAACTAGCAAGAATGGGGATACAAATAGCAAACCCTAGAAGGGTTGTACTCGCTATGGAGCACCCCACTACAGGATAGAGCATAATCTTCTGACACACCCCCATAGCCAAAGTGGGGTGTAATCAGCAGAGCAAGCAAAGCAGTACAAGCTCAGGGTGGATCACAATGTCACCACACATTCTGAGCACAAGTTCAAGAAGCAATAGTTTAAAGTTAACAATTATGAGCAAAGCTAGAGGCTATCGCAGAGGGCAAGTGAGGAGGAGGAGGCGAGAGTGAGAGTGAGAGGAGATAGGAGGCGACGGCTGAAGCTGCAGACACACGGGCAGCAGGAGGCACACTGGCACAGTGGCTACCGGAGCATCTCTCCGGACTACTGGAGTAACTGGCCCCGCGGCTAAAGTAGCGGCAGACGAGCAACGGACCCACGGGTGACTGGCACAGGTGGCTACGACTGGGCTACCGGAGCAACTCCCCGGACTACAGGTGCTGCTGGCGACACGACGGCAACCCCCGTTCAGCTTCCCAAACAGTCTCACCCCCCCTGACACACACCCCCTACTACACCCCTAGGGTCACTCACACCCCACCCCCTAGCACCACTCCGTCGACTCCCACACACCCACCCCTCTCAACGGCAGCTGCAGCAGTGGGAGACAGAGGAGGAGGAGGAGCAGGAGAGACCACACACCCGCCACCCCCTACTCGCCACCCCCAAACCCTAACACAGGGCAGAGCGGGATGGCGGGTAGGGAGGTTACGGGGGGGGGAGAGGGGGGGGGGGGGGGGGGGGGGGGACCGATGCGCGGCCTCCCAGGGCGCCAAAACAGGCGGCAGAAGGGGCGGCGCCCGCCCCCCTCCCCCAGGTCGCGGCCCCCGAGGGAGCCGCGACGGGCGACGGGAAATGGCCGGGGCAGGGCCGGGGCCGTGCAAGGGCGGCGACGGGGCCGCTGGCGGCGACGACGGGGCCGCTGGGGGCGGCGACGGGGCCGATAGGAGCGGCGACGGGGGGGGCGACGCGCGGCTCCCCGTCGCCCGTCGCAGCGCCTCCCGAGAGCGACGCGCGGGTCCCCGTCGCCCGTCGCAGCGCCTCCGGAGAGCGACGCGCGGCGTGACGGGGCAGAAACCCGCCGCGCGCCTCGGGGAGCACGGCGGGCAGAGAACCGCCGCGCGCCTCGGGGCGCACGGCGAGCAGAAAACCGCCGCGCGCCTCAGGGCGCACGGCGAACCGCCGCGCGCCTTGGGGCGCACGGCGGGCAGAAAATTGCCGCGCGCCTCGGGGCGCACGGCGGGCAGAAAATCGCCGCGCGCCTCGGGGCGCACGGCGGGAAGAAAAACTGCCGCACGCCACGGGGCGTGCGGCACAGAGAGTAGCAGTAGTAGTTGCAGCGGAAGCAACGAGGTGGTAAGCCCACCCACAGGATCGATCCAAGGGGATCGACCTGCTCTGATAGCATGTGAAAGTTTAGAAGAAAGAAGAGAGTTGAACTAGCAAGAATGGGGATACAAATAGCAAACCCTAGAAGGGTTGTACTCGCTATGGAGCACCCCACTACAGGCTAGAGCATAATATTGTGACACGTGATTGCCGACTTGTTGTCGACGCGGAGGATGGTCGGCTTCCCAGCGTCGAGCAGCTTGAATTCCGCAAGGAGGAAGCGAAGTTGACGCCCCTCCTTGCCGACATCCGTGGCCGCCACGTACTCCGACTCGGTCGATGACAATGTCGCGCACTTGATACGCGGGCTCGACTAGGAGACTGCGGCCCCTCCGTAGACAAACACGTAGCCTCCCGTGCTTGTCCGGTTCTGCTGGTCGCCCACGTCGTCGGCATCGACGTAGCCGATCAGCTCCAATGATTCTGGTCCACCGCTGAACTCCAGGGCGGTGTCGCGGGTGTCGGCGAGGTAGGCGAGGCAGCGGTCGACCTTGCGCCAATGCTGGTCGCTCCTCGCCGTGAGGCCACTTCCCTGCTTGCTGCAGGCAAACGCGATGTTCGGCCTTGTCGTCGTCGCCGCGAATTGCAGCGAGCCGACCATCTGCCGGTACTCCTCCTCTTCGCGCTCCTGAGCCTCCTCGTCGTCGAACGTCAGCTGAGCGTAGGTGTCGACCGAGACTGGTGTCTTCGGGACTCGAGCGCCCTGCTCCTCGTCGATGAAGCGCCTGCGCAGCTTGTCGACGTAGCCCTGCTAGTGCAGCCACAGCTTCCTGGCCGGCCTGTCGCGCACGATCTCCAGCCCAAGGTACTTCACCACCGGGGAGATCTCACGTAGCTCGAAGGCGGCCTCCAGCAGCTCCTTCATCTCCTTCAGCATCGCGGTGCTGCTGCTGGCGGCGAGCAGGTCGTCGACGTAGACCAGCACCCAGCAGGTCACTCCGTCGTCGCTGGCCTTGAAGTAGAGCGCCTCGTCGACCTGGCTCTTCTTCCAGCCAGTGCCCAGCAGGATACTGTCGAGGGCCGTGTACCACAGCAGCGGCGATTGTTTCAGCCCGTAGAGGCTCTTCAGCAGCTTACACATCCGGCCGGTCCCGTTGTCGAAGTAGTCCGGCTGGTACATGTAGAGCACCCTGTCGAGCTTGCTCTGCAGGAAAGCGTTCTTCATGTCCAGCTGCATCAGGTTGAGGTCGAGGACGGCGACGATGCTGCGGAAGATCCTCAGCGTAATATAGCCGCTCACCGGCGAGTACGTCTCATCGTAGTCGGCACCGTACACCTGCGTGAAGCCCTTCACAACCAGTCTCGCCTTCTCGCGCTCGACGGTGTCGTCGATGCGGTACTTGGTCGTCAGCACCCACCGGTTCTTCATGATGTTCACCCCGCGTGGGCGTTCGACCAGCTCCCAAGTCCCCATACCAATGAGGCTGCGGATCTCTTCTTCCATGGCGGCCTTCACCGCCTCGCCCTTCCAGCTCGACAGCGCCTCCTTCACCGTCATCGTGGCGATGTCCCAGCGGTGTTCGGGGTCAGCATGCACGTCAGGGTCGAGCTCCGACAGGTCTTCATCCTCCCCGGCATCATCGTACAGCAGGTCGTCGTCGACCTCGTCGTACACTGTGGTGAAGGCA